AGAGTGCTGGAAAACAGTGTTCTTCTAATTCAGCAACCCACAGAGAGTAGAAGAGATGCCCAGCTTTACATTATGATTTTTGTTTAGGAAATGTCAGTGTTAAGAACAGTCATTTAAACAAACAAGCAGAGACCACCCTCTGCTCCCCAAACCTCCCCCACAACAAACTTTTCCACTTCAAGAAAAATGTTTGTTTTTCCTTGTTCTTGCCTTTGTCCAGGTCAGTGGGTCATACAGGGTTTGTCTACGCTGCAGTTCGACACCTACGGCTCACTCATGTCAGCTGACTTGCACTGCAGGGCATAAAATTGTGATGTAGATGTTCAGGCTCCAGCCAGAGCTCTGGGACCCTATAAGGGGAGAGGGTCCCAGAGCCCAGGCTTCAGCCTCAATCTAAACATCCACACTGCAGTTTTAAAGCGCTGCAGCCCTAGCCCAAGTCAGCATAGGCCAGTCATGCGTGTTTAATTGGTGTGTAGACATACCCATAAGAAGGGGTAAATTTGCATTTGTTTCATGCTCAGCTCATGGATAGAAATCACAAGCACCTTTGGAATGTCTGCTTGAGATAGAAGGACAGTGCTTTGTAGTAGGACAACCAGAGACCCTGCTGTGTCCTCTACAAGACAGTAGTGTTATAGCCATTTTGGTCCTGGGACATTAGGGAGACAAAATGGGTGAAGTAATCTCTTGTATTGGACCAACTTCTTTTGGTGAAAGAGACAAGCTTTTGGGCTACTCAGTGCTCTCCTTCAGGTCTGGGAATTAATGGGCCACTTAAACTTGAATGGTCCCTATATGTGTGTTAACTAGGTATGCTAAACCAGTGGTTTTCAACCTTTTTTCATTTGTGGACTCCTAAAAAATTTCAAATGGAGGTGAGGACCCCTTTGGAAATCTTAGACATAGTCTGTGGACCCCCCCTGGGGTCCACGGACCACAGGTTGAAAACCACTGTTCTCTGGTAACAACAGCCTTTCGTGGACCTCTTAGACGTAGTCTGCAGACTCCAGGGGTTTGCAGACCACAGGTTGAAAACTACTGTGCTAAACAATCTGTTCCACCTTGTATTTAGCTGTGACTTTCTGACTACATTTCCCAGACCTGAAGAAGAGCTCTGTGTAGCTTGAAAGCTTGTCTTCACCAACGGAAGTTACTCCACCTTATCTCTACAAAAGAGTACACTTGCTTGAGCTGGATGGAGATGAGTCTACCTTTAATTCTGCAGGCTGTACAAGTAGGTCAGAGCCAAGTGATAACAGGTATCTGTCCCAAAGGCTTAGAGGGAATTGGTCAGGATGAACAAAGAACATACAGGGCCCAAATTCAGAAGCCCAAATCCTCAGGGACACCAGCCAGGAATGGTACAAATGTGGCTTTAAGCCACCTTCTCTCAACCAGGACCCAAGTTAGCTAGGGGTTGATTTGGTCCCGACGTTGCTAGAGCAACCTGGTGGCTAGGGTTCACTGGAGCACAGTGTGCTTTAGGCATGCCTCTCCTGGCTCAGTGTGTCCCCATCACTATGAGTCCCAGGATGGGTTCTGTAGCACTTAGGGGAAGGATGGTGCATTGGTTAAAGTCCTAACCAATAAGTCAGGAGACCTGGGTTCAATTCTGTACTCCACCATAGGTTTCCTATTGGGCAAGCCCCTTTGCCTTTCTGTGCTTCAGTTCCCTATCTGTAAAACAGGGATAGTGGTGGGGTGTTGTGAGAATAGATACATTAAACATGGTGAGGCACTCAGATACTACAGTGATGGGGGTCATACAAGTACTTAGTGTAGACAGAGCTGGCTCTGTACTAGCTGAAGGTTCCCTCATGCAGCCAATCCTGGGCTGACCCTTTAGGGCAGCTTTACATCCCATTTGTGCCAGACCTCTGGCCAGAATGAGGTCTTGATTACCCTGAGCCTGCACTGCATTTGGGACTGAGGGAGGGCTTTTAAGTTGTGCATACACCACTCAGAGTAGACTTGGACCCTAGATGGGATTTTCAAAAACCCAACTCCACTCCTTTTAAAGGCAATGGGAGCTTTAGCATTGACTTTAGTGAGAGCACAGTTAGACAAACATTGGATACCTTTGAAAAGCTCACTCATGTGTCTAATTCCTAAACCATCACATAACACAGGCCAGCCTGTGGCCCTGATTCAACAGCGTCCATAAGCACACTGCTAACTTTAAATACATACTTAAATAGCTTGTTGACTCGGGGGCTAAGTGGCTACACTTTTTGTTTCATAACTTTCTGGCCCATTTCTGTCCTGGTGGTGGTGGGGCAAACCAGTAAGTAAACACTGGGTTTCTTTAACTCCGTTTTTAAAAAAGCACTTGTGTTCCTGAAATAGCTTAAAATTACTTACTAAGGACCAGATTTTAAAAAGTATTTAGGTCCTGTACACAGGCATGGCTGCCCTGTAGTGTCCCCTGCTGACCAAGCCTGTCTCTGCTGAGGTCTAGAAGACCAGACATTCAAAACACTCTTTCTGCGGTCCAGTTTATTAGGTCCTGTACAAAGACTTTCAAAACGGACCTCAAACCTACAGTCTTCATCCCAGTTCCAGTTGGTCCCGGACCCTCCTCCCTGAAGGTCTACTATTGCTTTAAAGTTCATTTCTTTTGCTCCACTTCCAAGGTGGACACAGTGCCTCCTACTTGGGAGTCTCTCTGCCTGAAGTTTAGCCTTCATCACAGGCCTTCCCCAATGATCTTTTCCTGCTGAAGACACCTTCTTACTCTGTGCAGATATTTCCCTAGTAGTTGTTTCCTCCTTTTATAAGGCCCAGATCCCATCCCTTCAGCCCAATTGGGCGACAGGTTATCAGTTCAGGTGCACTGGACTCTGCTCCCTCTTAAAGGGGCCAATCATCCTGTGATAGTGCCTAACTCCCTTTGATTTCAATAGGCGTTAGATGCTTAAATACCTTTAAAAAATCTGGCACTAATATACCTCAGTAAACCAGGTTATTGTATCAAATACTGAAATAGTGCTGGGCAAAAATGTAAAGTTATTGGTGTTTGTAGTTATTTTAATTAAAAGTGTGTTAAATCTGGAAATGATTCTGAGTTTTATTACACTGGTTCCACTTTTTTTTCCCCTCGAGGCACAGAGGATGTGAGTAACATGATACTCAGGTGATATAAATTTACAACCCAAACCAAAAAATATTCAAAGTAAATGCCTTTTAAAACACTTCTGAGTTCTTGTGTTTAAAATGTAGTAATCTGAGACTCTCTGAAGGCCAATATAAGAGAATACATAATTAAAGTAATTTGTACATTACTGCTATAGCCTACAGGTTTTCTTTTCTGTGTCTGTCACGTGTTGATGGATTTGTAGAAACAGAAATATGTCAGTGTCTTGTTTTTTCTTTTATTGTACATGAATGTTTGTTCATACATTGGTTTCTATTTTCACTTTCTCAGTGTGCTATTAACAATCTGGTCATGTTTAGATGCAGTGCTCAAGAATGAAAGTTCTTTCTTTCTAAGGTAGGATTTGTTCCTGCTCTGAGAACTCGTGCACACTCTCTCTCCGTCTCTCTCTGAATGATAAGTTGGGGTGGGAAGACCAAGAAGGATTGCAGAACTCCCATGGTCTGATTTTCAGAGGGGCTGACTACCTGCAGCTCCAACTGACTTCTGATGGATTTGTGCACTTATGAAAATAGGCCATCAATTGTGGAGGGGTTTGGAAAAAGACAAAACTGGATTAGTGACTGGTATATCCAGGACTATGTAAACTCACTGACATCCCTAGTTTGCCCCTCATATAGATGGGAAGTGAGGTAGCTGCAGAGGGAACTGCAGCCCTGAGACTTCGAAAGCAGCCAAGCTTAGCTTGTTTCCACAAGCTGGGTACAGGGACCAGGATTTGACCCTGCAGGTGAATATTACTGTATGTAGGTACATATTCATTTATTAAACAAAATCTTCCTTTCAACCTTTTTAGTTTATTACATCGTCCTAATCAATCACTTTCTAATTAACCCGTCAGATTCCAGCGCACCTTGCCAAAATTGTATTACCCTGTTGTAAGAGTTACAACATGTGGTTATTCAAGTTTCTACTGCTCCCACTTTGATGGAGATGGGAGAAGGAATCACTTTCTGTGAGCCTAAGGGAGCATGTAATGAGAGAGTTGGGAGAGGTGCTTTGTGGGGATTGCTGTAGTAGAAGAAAGAAAAACACAGAGGAGAACAAAATAAAAATGCAACCAGAAACCCCAGAAGTCCAAGGGAGTTGTGGAGGTTGGCGTTTGCTTTACTTATCTATTTATTGCCACTGGCTATTAAAGTTATTATTTATTTGTATTACAGTAACATCCAAAATTGCTAATTAGGACCAAAGCCCCATTGTCTGACTGGTAGCTACTGTAGAAACATAAACAGACTTTTCCGTGCCCTGAAAAGCTTACCATCTGAGACTATTCACAAGAATCCACCTCCAGGTACCTATAATGCCAGAGTTCAGTGCATGTGCATGGTGGTCCTCTTCCCACATTATCTTGTGTCACAGAGGGCTGTGAGTATGGATAGGAGGAAGGTTCTGTGCATACCTTCTTCCTTCTCTGTGACCATGGTCTTTGCTGCTGGCAGAGCAGTTCCTACCCGTTGTTAAGCTCTGCCGGAGAGGCAGCATTCTGGACAGTGCTCTTGTGATAAGCTGATGCAATGGCACTAGGTACAAACAAGTGAAAACTTTGATTTCCCTGCTTTTATTTTCCTTTTTTATTTTTTATTTTTAAGGTGGGGGAATCTTTTATTTGTAATAGTTGTAAAGAGTTTGAGCTTGGCTGAAATGGGGATTCTTGCCACTCTATTTTAGGCTGAGGCCTCCACTCTTTCTTGTGCTTCCTCTCCTTTCTCCACACGTATTTTCAGTTGAATGTAACCCAGGATTTGAAACAGTCACCCCGGGTGAAAGGCACATGAATTAACCCATTAAAGGCAGCCCTCAAGAAGAGCACTTGTATTGAAACCACAAAGCGCGAACTCACCGTAAGCTGGTGAAATATGGCATTCAGTGCTTGTGCTTCTCTCTCGCTCTCCGGAACAAGCCGTATTACTTTATCCCTGTTGGTAAGAGAACATTGAATTGAAGCTTTAAGGATTTGTTTCAACAACAGGACCCAGAAATAAGTCTATCATTTACAGTCCATATTCATTTTGTCTCTTTCTAAATACTATTAAAATAACAGGTGCATCAGAAATCTGCTTTCAAACCTGACCCTACTTAACTGTGCACTTCCCAAGTCCAAGAAGTAAGCTGATTGTAGGTGGGGATGGCAGCATCTATTAAGGTTTCCCAACACTTCTCATTATAAGACCCTGTTTTCAATTGCTTATATCTTTGCCAAACTTAAACCGTATGGGCTGAAATTTTCCATGATATGGGTCTGCTTCAGGCTGAATTTTTCTGGAAAACTTTAGCCAAAATGGTACAGACATTTCTGAGAATGAGGATAGGGAATAACACACTGTTTTGCTAGTGTTAAAAAAATTCTGTCAGCCTTTTCTTTGCAAAGCTCTAGAGCCCCCATTCTGCACAGCAGGGACTTGACATTTGGCCTTTGTGTTACAAATGTGCCTTGTGCCAGCCCCATAAAAATCCGCTTAAATGTGGCCAGTTGAAAGACTGCAGTTCACACATGCTCAGTACTGACTTCTTAGATTTTAGCAGCTTAATTGCCTGAAGATTCCACCTGCACTGAGCATGCTCCGGTTGGGACTGAGCATGACTTTTCTTGCAGTTGTTGCCCTTGGCTACTGCAGACCAGGCTGGGTCTGGATCTGCGTACCTGAATTGAGAGCAGGGAGACTGTCTCTTCTGTGCTCTCGCTAACAATCCTGTTCAGCCCAGACACATGGAGGAAGCAGCCTGATTAAGATGCAGAGGGGACAAGAGCTGGTCCTGCAGGGGTGAATTCTTGGGGAAAAGGAGTGCCAGGAGAAAAGGGGCAAGAGAAACTGGGAATAGGAGTTGGTGCAAGGAGGCAGGAGGGAGAGTCTACACAAGTGAGACTAGGACTTACTGTGTGAGGAGACTGAGACCAAGATGAGAGGGGTGAGGAGAATGGGGCTATTCTTTGAATCATACATGCCTTTGCTGTAATATATGGTGTGGTCTGTTTGGGGGGAAGTGTGTGATGAGCCTAGCAGTCTGCTGAGCAAGGCTGAGAGCTTCTTAATGAGACTTTGAGCCCTAATCCCTTCATGATCCACTAACCCAGGAGTGGGCAAACTTTTTGGCCCGAGGGCCACATCTTGGTGTGGAAATTGTATGGCAGGCCATGAATGCTCACAAAATTGGGGGTTGGGGTGTGGGTGGGGGTGAGGGCCCCTGCTGTGGGTGTGGGCTCTGGGGTGGGGCCAGAAATGAGGAGTTCAGAGTGCGGGAGGGGGCTCCGGGCTGGGGTAGGGGGTTGGGAGGTGGGGGGGGGGGGGAGGGGGATCGGGGCGGGGGCAGGGGGTTGGGGCATGGGAGGAGGTCGGGGTGCAGGCTCGGGGCAGCGCTTACCTCAAGCAGCTCCCAGAAGCAGCAGTATGTCCCCCATCCGACTCCTATGCGGCGGCACGGCCAGGCAGCTCTGTGCACTGCCCCGTCCACAGGCACCGCCCCTGCAGCTCCCATTGGCTGCAGTTCCTGGCCTATGGGAGCTGCAGGGGCGGCGCTTAGGGCAGGGACAGCATGTGGAGCCTCCTGGCTGCCCCTACGCATAGGAGCTGGAGCGGGGACATGCCACTGCTTCTGGGAGCCACAAGGAGTGGGGCAAGCCCCCAACCCCGCTCCCCGGCTCAAGCACTGGAGCAGGGCAAGCCCAGGATCCCGCTCCCCGGATGCGGTCCCGGGCCATAGTTTGCCCACCCCTGCACTAACCCTTAATCAGGGGGCAGGGCTATTCTGGTACAACAGGAGTTTAAAAAGCCAGCTCCTAAGCAACCGGAAGAGCTAGTGAAGAGGGAAGTTTTGCGACGGAGTTTAGAGAGGGAGTGTGAGAGCCAGATTACACCCAACATTCTCTAAACTAAGGTCAATAAATACCCCTCCCACTGCCCCAAAAAAACAAAACAAAAAGCTGCGGGAGTAAAAAGAAAATGCAGGCAGAAGTCCAGTAGCAGACTGGGGGGTATTGAGTTTATTTCACTGAATGCAGCATGTGTGATTACCTGCCTTGTGGACAGGTAGCATATGTGTACATTCGGTGCAAGGAGCTCATGGCACTCAGACAAGACATCTAGACAGGCTTATGTGCAGTGCTGGGGATGAGCCAGTGGTCATGGTACATGGTACGTGTACCAATGACATAGGGAAAGATAGGAGAGAGGTCATGGAGGCCAAATTTAGGCTGCTAGATAAGAGACTAAAGTCCAGGACCTCTATGGTAGCATTCTCTGAAATGCTTCCAGTTTCACATGCAGGGCCAGTTAGACAGGCAGAACTGCAGGGTCTCAATGCGTGGATAAGATGATGGTGTAGAGAGGAGGGGTTTGGGGAAACTATTGGGAACGGAAGGATGGGCTCCACCTAAACCAAAACGGAACCAGATTGCTGGCATGTAAAATTAAAAAGATCATAGAGGAGTTTTTAAACTAAGACGTGTGGGAAAGCTGACAGGTCCAGAGTAGAACATGGTTTGGACAGAGACACCCCATAGGTAGGGGTGAAAGTGAGCCGGTACAGGTCAGTACAGTGTAAGAAGCCCATACCGGCCTACAAGCTTTAACATCCGCGTCCCTTTTGCCTCCCCCATCAGCGGCCCTACCGGTAGGGTCCGTACCAGCAGGGCCTCTGACGGGGGGAAAGGGGCAGCAATGTTAAAGCGCTGCCGTGGCAAAGGACCCTGCTTAAAGCGCTGCTGTCATTGCCCCTTTTGCCCCCCCAGCCGCCGACGGGGTGGGAGGGCAAAGGGAGCAGCTGTCCCGGGGACGGCGATTTAAAAGGGCCTGGGGCTCCGGCCACCGCCACTGGCACTGTGGCAGCAGCTGGAGCCCCAGGCCCTTTAAATCGGCACTGGAGCCCTGGGTGGCGCAGGCCAGGCAGTGCGGATGGGCTGGCTGTGGGACGCTGACCCCCCCCAGCTCTGCCTCTTCTGCCGGAGGCCCCGCCCATTCCGGGGGCCAGAGCCAGCCCTGTACCGGTAAGTCTACGGAGTTACTTTCACCCTGCATTGATTACTTTTCACTTATCAACACTGAATTTCATTTGCCATTTTGTTGTCCAGTCATGCAGTTTTGTGAGATCCCTTTGTAACTCTTTGAAATCTGCTTTGGACTTAACTATCTTGAGTAATTTTGTATCATCTGCAAACTTTGGCACTTCACTGTTTTCACCTTTTTCTAGATCATTTATGAATATGTTGAACAGCACTGGTCCTAGTGCAGATCTCTGGGGGACACCACTATTTACCCATCTCCATTCTGAAAATTGATCATTTATTCCTACTCTTTGTTTCCTGTCTTATAACCAGTTACTGATTCATGAGAGGACCTCTGACTGCCAGATGCTGGGACTGGACGTCAGGGGATGGATCACTTGAAAATTGTCGTGTTCTGTTCATTTCCTTTGAAGCACCTGGCATTGGCCACTATTGTAAGGCAGGATAGTGGGCTGGTCTGACTCAGTATGGCCGTTCTTATGGGGTTTTTTTTTCTATTACTTCTGCATTTCTCCCCTCGCCTTGTTTTTTCCTGAGGCGTTCCAGGATCATGTCTGCTTCCTTATTATCCAGGAAGATTATGCATCAGAGTGGCCTTTGCTGAGGGGCATTGTGGTTCCAAAGTAGATGTGAACCCAGATGCCTAACTGTAGTCTCTGGAGCTTCCCAGAATAGTGTATTCAATTGGTCTCAGATGGGTCACCAGAAAGTGAGGGGCGGGGGATGAGTGCTACCTTCAGAGCATGCTCCCAACTTCTGCCCAGCTCAATTGTCAGGGACTAACTTAGGTTTCCAAATGTGATGTACTGTCACTAGAATACGGGGCAGGCTTGTCCCTGCTACAGGACTGCTTTATCTGTATCTGTGTAAATAGTTATTTAACAGAAAAGGTGCCAGTCGAATATGTGGATAGTGCCTGGGTTCCATAGGACCAATAAGTGGTGGTGGTGTGCAGTGCAAATGGCTTTCTCTAGCTGCTCTTTACACCATCTCTTACCAGACCCTTCTTCCTTTGTGAATGACTCTTCCTCCTTTTGTCTCTTCTCTCCCTTCACCATCTGTTCCTTTCAGTTTGTCTCTATCTCCTTGTTTCTCTTTCCACCCTTTCATTTTGGCAACATCCCTGCTGAGCATTCCTTGTACTGCGGACCCAAGTCCTGACATCCTTATTCAGGCAAAGCCCCCAGTGACTTCAAAGGGTTCTGTCTGACTCTAAGGTTTGGCCTATAGTTCCACTAGTGCCAGTACTATTTAAAAAAATGAACCTGGCTCAGTTTCACTCTGCTTCTGTTGACACCACTGGCTCTGTGTGGTGTGCTGGAATAGCAAAGGGGTAATCTTAGACAGGGGTTCTCCTGCTTGACAGTGCTAAAAATTGGGAAGAAGAGGTGGCAGGGGTTTGGGAAAATTACCCAAAGTTTAACTTTCCAGACAGATGAGAGAGAAGGATATTTTACAAACGGGTATGAACCTCGGAGTACTAGGAAGGCTGCACTGTATTAAGGGAAATACGTTACCCAACTTCACTTACTGTATTGCACTAATTCTCTTTGCTATCACTCACTTCTTTCTAAATATCAAATAGTTATTTAAAAGAGTACTGGACAGACAGGTCTACTGTGTACACAGGACAGCTACTGTAGGACTGAACTGCTTAAAGGTTATGTGCAGAGACTGACTAAAATCTCCACTGGCTGAATGTAAATTAAATAATAAACATTTATCGCTAGTTTCTGGAAGTACTGGGGAGAGGCAGAACATATGGAACAATGATTTCAAATGTAAAATAGTTAAATCTGGATTCAGTAGTTGTTACAACTCAGAGTGAACTGATATTATTTAGGTGTGGTTTTCCTTTTCTTTAAAGGACTAACATGTGTAGTCTAAACTGTCTTTTGGATCTGGCTCAGTGGCTAT